TAGTATAAATAATTTGTACCGTTATAATTTTTTTTTTTTTTTTGTAATCTGGAAATACCTATGCCATGAAGTTTGGAAGCTACGATCGAATTCCCTAGGTCCCTTGAATACCTACCATTATAAACAAATTCGTAATATAAGTGATGCAATTTATATAATATCACTGATTAAACAGATTTTGATCTTTAAATTCTACCTAACTAAGTAGGTAAACTTTTTTTTAACATTTATATACCTTGATTTAGATATTCTGCACCATGCAATTTTAAAATTGTATGGTTTTGGTTTCGGTTTAAAAAAAGGTTTTTCAAATATTTTATCTGTTATAAGAACGGTTTTTGAAAATGTTCGGTTTCGGTTTTTAAAATTTCCATTTTATTTTCCTGTGTCTAACTACTGTAGACTCGATTTTTATTATCTATTAAGTATTATAAGGGCCGAGTCTAAATCCCTAAAATATGGAAAATTCGTATAATTAGTGTACAATATACGATATATCAAATTTACGTTCAGCAGAACTAATTTCGTGTCATTAGCTTAAATATTTTGTACCTAGTTTTAGGTGCCTAATTTTGCATTCGACATAATATTATGTTGTCATACTATGGTTAAGTTCATTATTCGATTACATTAATATTTAATTGTATACTACAATAACATCACACTATATTACAATTTACAATATATAAATACAATAAATTATTTTAGTACCTGTGTTGTAATAGTTAGGAGTTAGGACACAGTAGGAAATGGGAATACATTTATATAATATAGGTAGCTTACAATATATTATGTATTATCTTCTTTGGTTATCATAAACAATTATGTAATAAAAAAAAATGTTAACTATATCTTCCTTTATCCTTATAATGGCTTCATTCAAAGTATGAATTTAGGAGTTGAAATCCATCCTCCTTCATACCTTTTGGACATTTACCAACACAAAATTGTATTTAACACTTTTTCTATCATATTTACTTTCAATGTACCTATTTAATCGTATGGAAATTACTTACGATGACTTATATGGAACGTTGAATGTATTGATTTTACAATGATGAACCGGTGACCAAACTACTGGTATTTACACAACAATTTTTAACACTCGACCCAATTAGTTCTGTATAATGATTTTTATCATGGAACCAAACAATCAAACATTTGAATCCAAACTATATGCACTGCATTTTTGAATCAATGTTAGAAAATATATGTATCATGAGTGAAAACTATTCGTATCTACATAATATATAAACTGTGAATGGTACCTTAAACAATTTTTTTTAAAAATAACTGTCATTAATCGATATATTTTATTAAAATGTATGTGTGTATCCACTCATCAGTCATCATAATAGTATACTGGTGTATACTGTATAAAAATAAAATATTATGATAGTATAATAATATTATTTTACACTTATAAGCCTAACACTGTGAATTTTTTATTGCAGTGTTATACAATTTTATTCATATTTTAATTGTATTGTAAAACAATTACATTTAATGCCGCAAATTGCAATTAAAATTTTAAAATAAACTAGTTAAAAAAAGCTATGCTCTACATAAAATAAAAATACATTTCATGTAACTCCAAAGCTCTACTTGGATATAATATAAAAACGAAACTAATGTATTTATCAATAAAATTAGGGCTAATTCATCAAATGGTATATTTTTCCAAACAATTAATTATTTTATATTACAATATTAATAACCAATTTATACTAACCATTATACGTAGGTAGGTAAGTATATATCTAATTATTAGGTAATCAGTATAAATTATGAATTCTTATATTTTTAAAAATTCATCATAAAGATATTATGAAATTAGGGTTATGGAATGGGGGAGGGAAAGGCGAAGCCCCCCACAGCTTATATTTTCACAAAAACTATTTTGCACCTAGTGAGCTACTTACCTATCTGAAGGCGTGCCTGGACGTCAAGCTAGTTTAGTGCAGAGCTCTGCCCGCGGTATTAGGTACAGTTGTAAGCAAGCAAAAACCGATTTCGGTGCTCGTAACATTCATAATACGACCGCGGCCGTATCACATAAAATATAATAATATTGCCTATATTTTAATAATGTACAGTTGTACAGAGAGATAAATAAACGATTGATGTCGGTGGTCGGCGAACTGCCCGACTATATCGTCATAGGGAGGTACTTTTTCAAACGGCGTGATTTAAATAATATCATTGAGCACACCATTATATACGTGAGGTGAAATAAAGCGAAGAATAAATATTCGAAAACATGCGATATTCTTTACAAGGAATATCTAAACGAGACGTACAGAGGCGTCCGCGGGATTTTTCAATGAGGGGGGCTTGAAAATTAGTTACAAATTTATTTTTATTTTTTCCAGTCTAATAATTTCAGACGTTTATTTGAGGTATTTTAAAATGTTTGTAACTTTTCAACTAATAATGTACGATACGTTGTACAGTTCTGCGAGAGAGAAATAAACGAGTGATGTCGGTGGTCGGTGAACTGCTCAACTGCCCGACTATACCATCATAGGTAGGTACTTTTTCAAACGACGTGATTTAAATAATACCATTGAGCACGCCATTGCACACGTGAGATGAAATAATGCGAAGAATAATATTCGAAAACATGCGATATTCTTTACAAGGAATATCTAAACGAGACGTATAATAATGCACGAGTGTACTTACTTATACCCGCGCAGAAGTTTACAAAACGTTGATGGATTGTACGAAAAATCGATTAAATTATTTTTAATACGGGTATAGACTTTTTTACAGTATTGTTATTAAAAAATAATATATTTTTGTATTATATGTGAATATCGAATAAATTGAAGTGGCTCAAACGTTAAATATACGCGTGGACTAATGCGTATAGATCATAAGTTTTTTTCTTATTCTTATTATATTACATTTTCTGAAGAATGTCAGTTTTAAAAATACAATTCAAAATGTTCATCGAGAAAAATGAAATATATTATTCTTGTTTGCAAAACTGTAAAAACTACTAACAGGGGTAGTAATTAAATCATACGCCCGCGCCTTGAAGTTTGATTGTAATTTCGAAGAAAAAAAGGTCGATGTTATAAATTATAAGTGTCTAGACCATGCTCTTCAGGAATCCCTTTTTTGATTTAAAATCAGATGTGCCCAAAATAAATAAAAATGTAACGCAATTACTTCATGGAATTTTTAAAAATATTATCTTATTTGAAATTTAAAATTTAAAAACAATCCCCTAACAATATACTATTATCATTATTTTGAAAATGCCGCCCTCTTACTAAAGTGCAGCTAGGCATGGGAATATGTCACCTAACACTTGAGCCGGGCCTGATTGTGTAGCACTAGTTACTAAAATTAACTAAGAATGAAATGGAAGGATAATGGTTAATAAGTAAAATTTACTTAAATTACTTTATAAAATTCTTTTTACAAAATTCTCATTTATTACTATTAGTCATACGAACAATTAAAAATTTATTATTTTCCGTATTATAGTTTATTAATGTGCGGATTTTTAGATTCTCAAAAGCTTTATATAAGATGCAAATATGTTCTATAAACCCAAGAATATTCTCTAAATACTCCTTAAACTTGTAAATATGCAGTCATGCAGATAATATTTTTTTTTCTAAACTAGTTCAACAAAAACAATAAATAACTGTTATGCACTACTGCCATTACTCCTTTGGTAACAGGTAAATGATTTAAATATAAAAATGTAAAACAGTTCGTACACAGGTATATAAATATTATATTTTTATATTTAAATAATTTACTTGTTAATTATATTTTAAAATTTTAAATGAATATTACATAACTAAATCGTAAGAAATTAAAAGTTAAAATATTAAAAAATATAAAAGTAAAATTAAATTTATTATTAAAAAATCCTTCTCATTACGTTATCATTTATCAAATATGATTATCTATATTACAATCACCAACGGAGAGTAATAGAATGACCAACATTACCAATTTGATTACAAACAAGTAGATAGTTGAAAGATTTTTAATTTTTAGAATTTTTAGAATACTTAAATCAAGTTATTTTTTTCCCTAGACAAAATTATTGCTAGAAAAAGTCACAACTCGAGAAATTAACAAAATATAATATAACATATGGTTTTTTTTATGAAAAATAATAGAAAATATTCTAAAATATAAAAAATAGGCTAAATATTCTCTAATGTCAAATATATGCTTTAATATGCAAAATAATTTCTTTCCTACAAACTCTGTGATAGATAAACCGTCCATATTATTCATCCTAGTGAAGTTGAATAAAGCCAATACAAATATGTAACGTAAAAACCTAAAGATACTCTCTCTAATTATGATTGAAATTGGTAGATTTTAAATTAAATACTTGAGATTCTTGTGTTTATAAGTTGTATATACCTAACCAATATCAATTGTACATCAAATTCAAATTAAGATCATCAATTAATTTATTACAGTTTGTCAATAATAGTATAAATTACCAAGTAATTAAGTAACAAATTGTTTTCAAAAGTCATTCTTAAGAATAAAAATCCATAAGTGCTCATTCATACTATATTTAATAATTAAATTGCAGATGTACACGCATTTGCATATTTTTTTCCTTTAATAATAAAAGTTGCAGAGTAGGATAGAAATTAATTTTGTGGCCTATAGAATATGAAATCAAAATTGTTATGTTGCATATATTATTGCATATTTCAATCATATTTTTACATTTTTTTAGGCATATTATTATAACAACGGTTTATCGAGCATCTTTTAAAGTTTTATAAAGCATATATTTAAGTTTTTTGGAGCATGAGCATCTGCCCTTTATTAATAATATTTGTTATTTAAAACAAATGCCAAGGGTTCTCTATGCAAAGTTTATGCAGACATTTAAAGAATATTAACGAGTCTTTGTTTAAAAAGTGCTCACTGTAGATATTTATTAAGAATAAATTAATGAAAACGTACAAAGCAGTTAATGGATATTTGAAAACAAAATTGAGATTTTATACAGCAGTGTGAGACAGTTGTATTAAGTCATTAGCTTCATAGTTGTAATTGGATGTTTGAGTAGCCATTTTTTCTTGTTTAACCTTGTATATTCGTTGCTCTATTACATACAATACTCCACTGAAATAAAGGGCAATACTTCCTGTGACTGCTACTCCAAAGCTCCATCCTAAATCAGTGTGTTCCCAATGTGGCATCCATTCTCTGCTGTCTCCATATACTCCAAATATTATCAGAGCAATACTACTGCATACAGCTGAAAATAAAATTTTTTTTAACACATTAATAGATATGTTACAAATTATAAGACAACCTAACACAATGTTTTACCTGCAGCTATGTTAAGTATTCCAGCTGATAGAATTTGAATATAACATTCATAAGCTTTATTTAAATACAAATAAAGTGCACTGTAAAATAAACCTGATACTGCTAAGAGAATACAAGCCGTAAAGAAACACTGAGTAGCAATATAAAAATCTAAGGAAAAAAAAACTATATTAATTTTAAATTTTACATCAAAGTATGAAATTTTATTCGTTATTGATGAAAAGTAAAAAAAAACCATGTCATAAACAAACCTTCAAATATAATATCAGAGATAATATAGTATTCTTCTTCAAACACCCACGAACAATTATGGAATCTTGTATCGTAAAAATGACGAGGGTCTTCAAAACCTTTAAGACATACTACCCATAGACCTAAAGATGTGAACAGTTAAACAAATTGTTATTAAAAAGTGAATACCTAATTTCATTTACTTTTCATCATAGTTAGTATAAATTAATAACTTGAAATTATTAATTTCAGAAACTTGTAACAATAATTATTTAACAAAATGTTACCAATGATTATATATAATATAGATCGCTCACTGTGGTGCAAAATATGCTGCGTTAATTTACTAGCGATCTTGGTGTTAAATGGCAGAAACAAGATAAGATAGGTAATATAAAATTAAGATAGGCCATCTTATAACCTGGCTCCCTAGTCAGTTTCTAGCGTTCAACACCAGGATAGCTAGTAAATTAGAGCAGCATATTTTGCACTACAGTGAGCGTTCTATAGTATTTATAATCAATGTTAATACTAATAAAAAAGAACAAACAAAGTTGGATAGTATTAACTATTATTTAAGGATTATTTAAAATTATATTATACTTTAATATTTATATAACCTTATTATCAACTGAAAAAAAGTTTAAGATATTTTTGCTTTATGAATCACTTTTTTAAGTATGGAGGAAATGCAAATTATTATAATCAAGCAAGGCACACCTATCTAGATAAGAATACAATTCTAGTTCAATAGAGTAAAAAAGGTGATTAAAATAAAATGTACAGCCTTGTTTGCTTTCAGAGCATTTATCTATTAGATAGGTAACTGTACTTTCCAAGCATTTGAAATTTGCTGAATTTATAAAAATATTGTTAAGTAAAATATCTCAACATATGTCATGAGTTCAAGTTCAAGTTTCAACAGCAAAGCTGCTTGAAGAAAAAGGCAAGTGACCCCAATGGGTAAAAACTAGAAACCAGTAGGTCAGAATATAAGACACAATGCATAAAAAGTCATCATTCTATCAATTAAATGTCAAACAATCACATCATTAAAGCAGAATAGAAACGTATAACACAGTTAAGTATAAAACACGCTTTATACATACATATAAAACATATAGTATAAACGTTTTTTTTTTATAGCTGAACTGAGCAGAATTTATCAGGAATAATTTACCAAGTTGATGAGGTTTTTTAATATTTGTTATATTAATTACCAAGTCATCATTATTAATAACTAGGTACATTAATATTTTAATAACAAAAAAAATTTGTTTTCATTTTATTTTGTTCTAAATTTAAGAAAATTCACCAAGTTGATGTGATTTGTTAATTTATTATATTAATTTATAAGTTTATACTTATTAAAATTAAAATGTACAGTATTATCACTATTATAGTACTTAAAAAGTTCAAAACAAACAATGTATACTTAACATTCCATAATATGTCTTAGTCGTTATAAGGATTTATACGCTTTATAATATAAATAATGTTACACGTATAAAGCGTTTTATAAGCGTATATTACCAATCCCGAATTAAAGACTTTTACTGCAAATATGTTTTTTTTTTTTTTTAATACCTACGGTACAAGCGCAAAAAATGAAGAACCTACAAACAATTTTTGAACCAAATTAAATATATTTGATTGCATTTTTTAAAACTCCAACACAGATTCTATCGAGCATTTATAGATACTCGGGCTGAAAATCTTTCAGGAGGGACCAACAAAAAATGCGAATTGCCATGTGACTATGTGAGCGCACATAATATACTAACACCTAGCTGTACTGACCGAGTGTTTCGAATTCTGGGTCCTTTAATTTTCCATCCGTGACCAACCAGCTCTTCGTCGTGAACGCCAACAGGACCAAAAACGATCCCGAAACCGACAGGACAGCGGCCGTCAGACCGTTCCTGGACTGGGCCATGGAAACCACTGGTACCTATAAACAGACGCAGACTAAAGATTCAAGTTTTGAAAAAAATACAACAAAACTTACAAAACTTGGTCGGCTACGATGGATATGTATTTAGTAAATACGCGGCTCCAGGGAGCGTATTAGGAAACCCAGGTCGCCACAGCTCGTCTCTCTAATATCGTGTCCTCACAGTAAAATTGTGAATTTATCTATTAATCGGTAATACAATTATTTCATCAAACAGAACAAGTGAGTCGTTACAGCTTGTTGTATCGAGTTAGGTACCGCCAAATCTTTGCTCGTAAACAACAAACTGTTGATATCAGTGATATGATGATGTGAGTTATGATATGAGTTATGAGAGACGCTATTCCTACAGGTGTAACTCAAGGTGTATCGATACCACAGACTTATAAACTAATTTACAGCGCTTAGGTCACGGGTGCGATATACAGTATTAGTTTCGTACGTCTATGGGAGACTTCACGTTTTTTCTCTCTTTCTCTTATGTGATTCCACCAAGATTGTCCCCGATGTGTTCCTTCTCACTCACTCTCACGCCTCGAAGACCGGTCTCCGTGGGCGGGGTACACGTTATCAATTTAAATATTTCATATTGATGTTATAAATTATTTGAAAAATGTCGAATAACAATATTACCTATATAATATTTAATTCATCGGCAAATGTGACGACACCGACGATTCCATACACGAAAAAACTTCGAACTAATTAAAACGGTAGTTGTCCGCCGCGGTCGATAGATTGTTACCGTGTCTTATAATATCGTACCAAACGGGCATATCCGTTACCAACATCATCTTATCAGATCACGGGTACGGTACAAGTTTTTCAGTCCAATACTTCATGCCCCAGGGATACACAAACCCGACCGACTGTCCGAGTGTCCATTCTACATTGTTCAGTGTCATTGCAGACGACGAAAGGACGAGATCTGTTGCACGTTGCCGAGCAGTACCAGACGTTCCGCCATCATTTGCAGTAAGTAGGTACACGATTTAATATTATAATATTATCACTTCATACACTCTCCCGCAAGACGCCCCGTGTCCCCGGTGCCATATTATTATTATTATTATTATTATTATTATTATTTACTGTTCGTCGTCGGCTGACGATCCATTGAAGTTTGCAAACCCCAAATTCGCTTCACACACGTCCGGTCTTTTGTTCTCGTGTACCTACCTACCTATCTGCCCGTCGTTTTAATTAAATGCCCAGTGGCACACCTCTTGTAGCGGGTGTGAGTAATGTGATGTTTACGATTTTCGGTGTCCGTCGAGTCCAGTGTTGGGTAGTAACGTAACGAGAGTGACGCGTTACTTTGCTTGTAACGCGTTACGTAATTTCATTAGAATTATTTCCAAGTAACGGAATGACTTTTGATAAGTAATTTCTATAGAATAACGCGTTAGGGTACGGATTCCTAGGCGCGGCTAGTCGCGACGGCTGGCTGCAACGACCGTCCGCCACGACTGTTCTGCTGTGGAACAGCATTAGAGTAGCTGCGGCCAGCCGTCGCGACAAGCCGCACCTAGGAAACCGTACCACCTTTACAGTTTTTAATTATTAAGTACCTACCGTAAGGTGGGGTGAGTTTGACATTAAGGGGCGACTTTGATCATTTGATTTTTTCTACAAAACATTTTTTCTCTCAAAACTCAAAAAATACCGAACTGATTTTTTTGTGGGGCGAGAATGATCACTTTGATGACTGTACCCATGTTTATACGCATTTTCAGGGGTGCGATCAAAGTCACCCCAAAAGGTGGGTAAGTTTGATCAATAACTAATATTAGTTATAACTAATGTAAAAATGTAAAAAAAAATTTGGTTTGAGAAATTTTCAGTTAAAGGTATAATGTAGAATAATTATTAATAATTAAATGTTATATATTTCAGTTGGTTATTAGTACAATAAGTATAAAACTAAAATAATTGAAAATTAATGATCAAAGTAACCCTACCTTACGGTATCTATTGCCAATAAGAAAAAAAATCTTTGTCTATAATGCGGGTATTATTTACCAATCTAATATGTATATATATTTAATTTTAACTCTCCACATTATAGTTAAAGTTTTCAATGGTTTTGACATTTGACATGTCAAATTGCACCATAAATCACAAAAACAGTTAATTAAATTTATTATTTAATTCGATTCCTCTAAATAGGTAGGTAGTACTAGGTACCTTTGCAGAACGTTTCCTATGAATTAGGAGCATGGACTATCAAGTTTTATACGCTCCTATAATAGGAATAATAATTAACAGTTAACTATACAGATTTTCTAGAGAGTTTAGTGTTGTACAAAAACTGTTCACTTTTAAAATACTTATTAGTTATTACTACATTTAGAATTTATATTAGAATATTACATTATTTTCATGAAAACGGAATAAAATATTATAAAGACAGTATTGATGTTTTAGTAGGAGTTTTAGGTTTTAGATGACCCAAAGTAATACTTCAAGTGCACAAATTGAAATAAAGAACGCACTAATTATGGCTTATCATAAAAGTGCGGATTGTCGCTCGTTGAAATCCGTTTTGAGACTTGAGAGGTTGTTACTCGGAAGCTGGTGCTCATGCACTGGATCAACCATCATTATGACCATGTATAAATGTATAAACAAACCCTTTTTTTCCGTATTGAATACTTTTTATTTTGAAGTATTTGAATGGTATTTTAAATACTTTTTCTCTTGTTGAATAAAAATACTATGCCGTCGTGGTTTTGCTTTAAAATTATAATAATATAATATTATATATTCATAATTTGTGCCGTACAGCCATTTTGGTATCGGTTTTCGTTGAATAAATGTTTTTTTTATCTCCAGGAGACCTTTTATTGTCGAAGAAGATCAAAAAGATACATCTATAGTCGGGATCCCTTAAGTCCGTAACAAAATATATATGTAGAAGCTTCTGCTTAACGGCTATTATACTTTATAGTTTATAATTATTTAATTATACGAAAATATTATTACTAATTATTTGTACCTATACCTACTACCTATTTATCAAAACAATTTATTGTTACCTATAATTATCATTATCGTTAATCAACGATCGATGACGGTATGAGATATCCAAATAGGTACCTACATATAGCTTTAAATTAATATATAACTATGTAACTATGTAGAGAAAAGTGCATTGATTTGGTGCAACTAACATGACTGATCAGAATTTTGATTATTGAACTAATCATGTTTTAAAATGCAATAAACAAATTTTTATTTTAACAAATTATTTCAGAACTAAAACAAACTTTTTGAATTTGAAGATTATTTCAAATACTTTTAAAAAGAATTTTTTACAACACTGATAATATAATAATTTGTGTGTTTAATGTACACCTATTATGTTATAATTTTTCATGTTATGATCGTTCCAAACTTATTTAGGTTACTCGTCTCTTATCAAAGTCATAAGGGATTTGAACACCCCTTAACATGGAAAACAACAGTATCAAGAGATCATTAAAAGATGGATGTCGATATCCGCACACAGAAACCAAGAAACCTAAAGCGGCTCAGGTCACAACCACAATATCACATCCTAAATCATCAAAGAAAATTATTGGTTTACAAGATTTATCCGATGAGGTTATCATGTATATATTTAAATATTTATCACATGATGATCTTGCCAAAATGGCACTGTGAGTATACAAACTTCAAAATTAGGTTAAGCAGCTTAAATTAATTTTTAATATCGTTTTATAGCTTATGCCCTAACTTGTCAAGAGTTAGTCATGATTGGAGTCTATGGAAAAAACCAAGATTTGAAAACTTTGAAAAATCTATGGAAGAAGTATACTTGAGCTACTTAAAAAAGGATACCACTGAATTGTTTATATCGTGTAATGATGTTCCAAGCCATGATTATTCAGTTTCTGAAAATTTTTTAATAAAATTGAAAACAAAATGCCCAGAATTACTCGATTTAACATTGAAAAATCAAGTATTTGATGAAGTAAGAATAATCCTTCTTCAGTTTCTATCTCGAGTATTTTAATTGATTTACTTCCTTATTAATAAGTACATTTTGTGTGTAGATAAATGTAAATATTTTCCATCCAAAATTAAAAACGCTGACAATTGATAGTTCAACTATTGAAAACGTTCCAGCTAACACTTCATTCTTAATCAGTATAGATACTTGCCCAGATCTAGAGGTAAATTTGTTTTATTTTTGTATACTAAATACATTTAAAACCAAGTAATTTTAGAAATATTTAATTTGATTACACATTGACATTTTTATAATAATTGTTTGTACTCGTATAGCGACTTATTATTACAAACAATGATTGGTTTTTGCCTCAAAATTTATATGCATTGTCCAAGCTAGAACGTTTAAACTACTTAAGTCTCGCAGGTTGCAAACAGTTTAAGGACTGTGTTCCATATGCAAGTATTACTACTATAATTGGATTCGATTTTTTACAGGTTAGCAATATAAATTGAAATAAAACAAATTTTTAAAAGTATGTTATTTTTTTTAATAACGATAACTCAGAGTATATTAAAAGTGATAGGAATTTGGTGATTGATCGTGTTTAATGTAAAATAATTTTTTTAATTTTTGTGAAAATTTCAAATATTAGAATCAATTTATTAGTTATTAGTTATTACTTATTATTAATAAGTTATTAATTATCTGGGTATTAAGTGCTTTTAAAAATAAATTTAAAATAAAGTTATATGAGTTACCAGTTAAAAGACTGTTAATTCTATTACAGTGGCGGCTTGTAAACCGTATAAGGGATGAGCAGATATTACAACAATATATAATTATAATAAAACCATAAATTATTGAATACTTCTACAGTTCTACTATACTACAAGTTCAAAATTGAAAATTAATAATAATAATGATATTAAAAATAATTTTATGTTCATTGTCATTTGTTTAGTAAGAACCAATATCTTTAGTTTATGATAAAAATATTATGGGTATACACCTGATGAGCCGCCACTAGTTTACTATAATATATTATTGGGTTTAATAAAACAATCTTACCTGATTATTTATATTATTTTTAGACACTCGATTTGCGTTTTACTCCAGTAAGTGACAGGGAACTTGTTTTCTTTCAAAGATTACCAACTTTGAAAAATTTTCTTTTGGAATGCCCTGAGTATATGAACCACGAGATACATTCAACAATTACTGATTTGGGTTTGGCAGAATTATGTGCTGCTACTTTGTCCTTCCGCTATCCATACTTAGGAGTTATGATGGGAGGAAATGGCGAAAGGTAACTTAAATCAATAATTAATTATAATACAAACATTTGTGCATATAAGCTTATTCATAGTTTTACTTTAAGTTTATGTATTTCTTTACAATATTCTTTCCTTTAATTGCTATTTATTATGAAAATAAAACTAAAAAATCAAATATCGAATAAAATTAAACATAAAAATATTTTATTTTAATCATTAAGTAATAGTAGTATTATACTGTTACAAAAAAATTGTAATATTGGTTGTTTAACACCAAAAAATGTATTTATTAGGTCATTAAGTCATTTTACATTGTAATAGTAAGTATTTAAATTAAATTTTATATCTAAAACATTGGATTTGTTTCCACTTAAATGCATGCATTCGTTTACAACACATTTCAATAATTTAGATTTATTAAGTTTTAAATCAATACATATATTATCTACGGTTGAATTAATATTAGGTTTATTATGTTATATGCGACATTTATTTTTAAATATTAATGATAATGTTTATAGATGCTGTATTGAAACCTTCTATGTACGCAATTACCCAAAAGTCACCGGTACATTTTTGAGAATAGCTATCACACATTGTCCACACCTGAAATTATTAGACATTATCGGATCAGGTTGCACTTCAGCAGAAATTGAATATTTTAAAGCAATTAGACCTAGTACGAAGGTAATATACTGAAAAAACTAAAAAATAAAAAATTGACATTGGGTATTATTACGATATGTGTGGAAAAGAGATGAGGTGAAAGGGCTCTAAGACATGTTCAATCCTTATATATTTTGTGTTATATAAAACTTATAACTAATTCTACAGTATATTTATATTAATGAACCAGTTTAAAATTAAATGTGTTGATGTTTGTAAATAATTTATTCTTTCTATTTGTCATCTTATTACCTATTATTCATAAAAAGAGTTTAAACTTAAATATAAAGTCCAGAAAAATATAATTTAATGTTTAAAAAATATGCTAGATAACCTAAAAGTAATTTTAATTATATAAATGTATAAATTATTTCACACCTAATCTTTTAATTTTTTACTAGATTTGTTAATTGTATACAAGTTTAAATATGTTTTACTCAGATAATTTTAATAGTATTTACAACATTAATGCTATAAATTTGTACAATTTAAGTTCAGATACTAGCTGTTAATGATAAGTTCATACAGTAATTATTATTTTCAATATGTTAAAAGTTATTATAAATATATACTTAATGCTTATAGAATAGTTTTAATAATTACTGAGAAAATTTAAAATAATGATAGTATTAGTTTATTTTTATAGCTTTAAATATAATTATATATTCAATTTATTTTTATGTATAATTTATAATTATTTTCTATTATATTTAAAATATATGTGTCCAAAATTTTACATATTGCAATTATAAAATATTATTATTCAAATTACATACCATATAATAATGTAGTACGTTTTCAACATTTTTTTTTTTATATTTATAAGCAACATGAAATAAATTTAAGCTTTTGTATATAATAAACAGAACATTTTTAACATAATTTTTCAATTGTAAATAAAAATATTAGTTACTTACAGAAATTTACTCTTATTTAAAACTATTCAATTAAGTTTCATTTGCTTTCATTAAGATTAAATTGAATTTTTTACGCATTGTAATTTTAAAACTAAACTTTTTTTAAAAGAAATGTCGATAAGATTTTTAATTATTTTAAATTTATTTTCTAAAACTGGAGGTAATTCATCTAAACGTCTTTCACAAATATGACATTTATCTGATTTATTATAATAATTATTTAATTGTTCTACATTCAAATTTTTCATAGGAACTATTTTATCATATATTTTTGAAATATTTTTTTCCTCTAATTCTATACAACTTAATAATTCCTTAGCTGCATTTGGACCAGAATATTCTACAGAAGGTTTATAATCACCATTGCCATATTTAATATAATAACAAAAATTATTAGGGATGTGTTTCTGATAACAATTAGTAAAAGCCTCTCTATCATTTTTTTTACATTTGTAGATTGGTTGAAGTGTACATTCAAAGTCAAAATAAACCACAAAGGGGATTTTTAAGGAATGATTATAATTTTTAAATTGTAACGTTTTATCATAAGATTCAGGTAGTATTACTTTAGCAGCTTTATTGTTATAATAATCATTTTTGTGTTCATTTAACTTATTTTCTATATCAAAACTATTTAAACACATTTTACATACAAATGTTTTATGACCATCTTTTGTTATTTGACTTCCTACAAGTTTCCATAAATCCTTAATCCAACAATAATGAGCTTTATTATTCTTTTTTAAATATAGCAAATAAATATGACTTTTATTTTCTATTTTAGTTATTTCGAAAGGTACAACATGTATTTCATTATCACCATCATTTAAACAATACATATTAATGGAAATATCCTTGGTTCTTTTCACAAATTTAGAAATATCTGTGGTTTTTACTGGAAATTCAATATTCTTTAGTTCATTCTCAAATTCATATTTCCATTCTTTATATCTAGATACTCTTTGTATATCTTTTTTAATATGTTTACTATGTAAAGCAGAGAGTAATGACAAAACAAAACATTTATTATCTCCATTTTTAACATTTATAATAGCATGTTTATCTTGAATAGGTAATGGAGGATATGAAGAACCTTTAAAAGGAACATATTTATTTATATTTATTCCCAAACTTAAAATTTGATGAAGTTTCCATTGAGAATTTCTCATTATAAAATCTTCTTCATTTACAATTTTAATTTTTACATTTGTATGAAAATCATTGAAGTTAGAATTTTTTGTTAAAATTTTATTTGGTGTTTTAAAATTTTTTCCTGGGTTCCTAAGTTACATTTATCACAAGTTTTGTTATCCATTTTATTATTGTTAACATTTCTTTTAACTAAATGTTTAATTTTATTGATATGTTCCATTTATTATAGAGAATATTATTTTTTTTTTTACATTCAATTTTTAAAAAAAAAATAACATTTAAATAATATTAAGATCCCATACTATATTCACAAATTTTAATATTTCCTAAACCTTGAACAATCTTAATATCATCTAGATCAGTGGTTCTTAACGGGGGCGCTACCGCCCCCTTGGGGGCATTTTGGTCTCTATGGGGGGCGATAGTTTTGAAGGGGGCGTTGAGGGGGCGGTGAGCTTTTTCAAATTCAGAGATTAAAAATAATGCAATTTATTAATATTATATATAACAAATTCAATAATTGAACGTGAAATCAGAATATTTAGTTGTAATTGCGTACGATACAACAACATATGGAATGTTATCTAATCGCATTTTACGTATCGGGAACGTCTTGTTTATAAAAAATTTATTTTTACATTTTCAACCATAACTGGACTATTGTATACTGTACCTTGCAAGTTGAAAAAGGATTCATCGTTGTTGTTCAGCTTTTGACGAAACAAAGAAATCGGTTGTACATTTGTAACAAAGGTGATCTACATTTAGCTTTGGCCAATATCGAACCAGACATCGCCACGTTAGCAGCTACTCATCAGAGCTCAGGGCAGTCATTTATAGGTATAATTTTTATATTTTATAATTTTTTTTTTCATAGTTAAGTAATTCTTTTTGTATAGTAAAGTAAAATGTTTTTGTTAAGTGGTGAAAAATATAACCTTTATAATCTAAAAATAAGAGTTTTTACTTTAATTAATAATGTTATACTGTAATATACGGATGAATAAATAAATATATATATATATCTTTATTAGAAGAAATTTTTATTTTGAGGGGGGGGGGCGTTAGCAGTAAGTTATTACGGGCGCTGAACTAAAAAAGGTTAAGAACCACTGATCTAGATAATAGTGATTATAATCACCTGTTGCATTAATTAAATCATTAGCTATTTTACCAAGTTCAAACCAAGTTGGTGAGTGTAATAGTTTAGAAATATAAGGATTTACATTTCCAAAATCAACGTCTCCTTGACTAATAATGAAAATATTTTTATCAATTTTAATTTTATTTAGATTATATTTAACATTCTCAGAATTTTCATAGTATTCAAAAGCACAACATTTCACATAACATTTGTTTTTTTTTATACTATTTTGTATTAATTTCAAAGAATTATATTTTTTTTGTTTTTCTTGGTTAATTGGTATACCTTTGTATGTTTTATTAAATCTAAAAGGTACAATTGTTTGATCTATATCATTTTTTTGATGGTAAATAGATTTCAAATGAACAGACCAATTTTTCCAACCAACTGTTAAATTACATATTTACATTTATCACAAGTTTTAGCAGGATATATTTTTTTATTTAATACATCCATTTTATTATTGATATCAATTTCTTTAACTAAAAGTTCAATAAAGTTTTGAATTTTTAATATTCAGAAATTTATCTTTACCATCTACTATAACTATTGTATTTCGGTTAGGTTTATTTAATTCTGTTGTAATTTGAGGTATATAACTTTCATATTGGTTATTTATTTTATAATTATCATACTTATTTAAAATATTTTCCATTTCTTATTTATATTGCCAAATATATATTTATTTATTTTTAATAAATGGATAAAGTAATAGTAACATTTTTTAATGAAGATGAAAATAAAAAACAATCTTTATTGGAATTACCTTTACGTGTTTTAATTATAAGACCATCTGGTTGTGGTAAGACAACCTTGTTGTATAATCTGATTATAAATTATTGGATTCCTTATTTAAATCTATATATTTTTAAAAAAAAACAAGTCTATAAAATATTAAAAAATATTTGATGATATATCTTCTATAAACACACATTTTTCTAATGATGAAATAATATCTGTAGATGATTGTGAACCAAATAGTGATTTTTTATGATTTTCTAAAAGAAGAACAAGACATGATAATTGAATATTTTATAAGATCAAGATCAAAGAATATTAGTGTTATTTATTTAACACAAATTTATACTTCAGTAGATATAAAAACAATAAGAAATAATTTGAATGTTCTAATTGTTTTAAATCAGTCAAATTATTATATTGAAAAAATATGGTCCGATTTGATTAGCGAAGATGTAGCTTTAGAAAAATTTAAAGAAATTAGTAGAACTTATTGTAAAAAATATGATTAAAAAAATAAAATAAAAACATATGCTTTCATCACAATAGACTTGATAAAAAATTGAATCTATGACAATAAAGGTAATACGATTTTATACATCGATGAATGATGATTTAATTTAATTTTAATATAATAAATGGATATTAAACAAATTCAAAAAGAATTTAAAAAAAAAATTTAAAAAAAGATGCTCTGCTGTACAGTAGTTAGGTTACAAGTGGGTCGCTGTATAATGGATGGTATTAAATTTGAATTCATGATATAATATCATTGTATAAAAAAAAAACGATTCTGAGCGGAGACGGTATGTCAGTCTAGCTATAGGACATATTATAGGTATACTTATCTATGGTATTAAAAAAAAATGACCTATAATAAATTCCAAATTAATCATATCACAACATCTTTTAGTTACTTATAAGTTATAACGCGTTATACATCAACAACAAACCCTGATACTTTCATCGATGTATAATAGTGTACTTTAGAAGTTTCAAGTACCTACGAATAATATTATACAATCACAACAAAAAAACTAAAATTGTTACTCTAGGTTTTTAATATGTAATTTTGTCCAAAT